GTCTGTCTGTCTGTCTGTCTGTCTGTCAGTGAGTGTCCTCTGATCCTTTGCTCACTCTCATGCAGCCTCCTTCAGTCCTGGTCCGTCCTGGTCCGTCCTCTGTTTGCTTCCTTTGACCACAGAGATAAAACCCTGCACCTCTGAGGTGGTAACTCCTAACCAACTCTACCTGTAACTGCCCTTGTCTCCCTCCCCCTCTCCTCCCCCTCTCCTCCCCCTTTCAACTCTAACACTGCTCCTCCCACTTTTCCTCCACCGCTGCTCTCAGCTCCTCACTCTTCTTCTCCCTTCTTATTTCTTGTCTATCCCTCCTTCTCTCCCTCCCACTGTATCTACTCCCCGCCCACAGTACTTTACTACCTCCTCACCTGTGTCCCCCATTCTCCCTCCCTCCCTTCTTCTATCTGATTCTTATCTTTTGCCCTTCTGCCTCTGCCTTCAGTTACAGTAATAACATGTTCTGTCACATTGTTTCCAACACAGTGTTTTCTGCCCCCTTTTGTAGATAGGACTACTGCTTCACAACTTCACTGAACTTGTAACTGTACTGAAATCCCCCAAATCTTTGGGTATATTCCCACCAAAAAATAAAAAAATAAAAATACAATTACAAATCAGTGTTTTTGTGTCAGGAAGTAAAAAAATTAAACTTATATCAATTTGACCTGCTGCAATAACTATGTGGTCCCAAAGGAAGGGAGAGGATGGGTAACTAATTGTCATCTTCTTCAGAATATTTCAGATATGTGTCTCAGTTCACTCTCTGGTGAACAGGTACTGTTCAGAACTGTTTCCGTGTTTGAAGAAACAAATGAAGTCAATGTTGGTTGAATACATCTGAACAACTTGGTGTAAACTCCTCATGTGTCCACTGGGGGGTTCAACTGAATTAATGACTTATAAAGAATAGAGAATCGTTGATCTTCACTCACGTTGAACTGATCATAAGGAGGCAGCACCGTTCTTTAGCCTTTGTGACATATTTATTTCAACAAAATACGACCTCACGCCTTCTTCCCTTGTGGAGGGAATAACTAGAACACACACAGGACACAACACACTTGGGTGTGCCAGTAACACACAAAAAACTGATGATGATGCAGCATGAGTCCCCCAATCTGTAGACATGCGCCTCACTGTGGTGAAAACAAAACACTACACATCAGAAACACAAATCACAACTGAGCAGGCCACATAAAAGAAGGTCTCTTAACTACAATATATTTAACAGTTGCACGG